AAGTGTTCGACCAAAATAGGCGGAGAGTTTTTGTTTAAAACAAAATTTTTTTCGATCTGTATTATTTTTGTTTTATTTTATTTTTTCTTTTCTTTTCTTTTCTTTTATGCTTCAAGATAAGGAAAACAATAAGAACTGTGATAATTAGGATGAGATTATACTAAATTAAGAAAGCAAATTTTACTTTGATTAATTTTCATCTGTTTTTTTTCTCTTAAAGGTATTTTAGCTGACAAGTTCCTTCTTTTAGAGATAAGTAATGTCTACAAATTTAACTGTTATTTTTACTTGTTTTTGTCTATTTCTTTTTTCTTTTTTTTTTTTTTTTATAGTAAACAATTATTTTTGCCTCTTTTTTCTTGCTGTTGTAACACTTGACAAATTTATCTAGGTAAAATACTTGAAAAATTCCAATACTGTTTTTATTAATTTTTTTTTGGTGTTTTTTGTCTTTGTTTATTCTTAAAATTTACTGTTTTTTGTAGGTAAAGGAAGATTTCTTAAAAGTTGCTTTGAAACTTACTGCAACAATTGGTTAAAAATAATGAAATCAGTATGACAACGGAACAAGGTAAATTTTACTTACAATTTTCTGCTTTGTTGCTGCAGTTGCTCTTCTGTCAACAAATGGATATAAATAATTTCATTAAGCTTTTTTATAAGGTATCACGATATTTTAATAGTAAACTTTCGAAGAGTCAGTTTGAAAATGGCTGTACTGTTGTTCGTTAAAAAACGCTGCTTATTTTGTACAGAAATTGTACTCCGGATTTTCTTTAAAAAAAAATCAACATTTCTGACAGCGAAGAAATTTATATCCAACTCAGATCGTGAGTAAACTATGCGTACTTTTAAAAATATAGTAATCAACAGGTACTAAGAATAGATAGTAAGGCGGATTTGATCGCAAACAAGTCTTTTAATTATTCAATTGTTTTTGGAAGATGGTTTTATTACTCAAAAACAGCCAATGTTGTTTTTTTTCATTTCTATCTTCGCTTGAAATTAATGCGACATTTTTTTATTCCTGTGCTGCAAATTCGCATGATATTTAGTGACTGATCGTCTTGATTGAGTCGAGGAGGCTGGTGTAAAGAACTCTGTATTGATAGCTTCCAAATAAGAGCCTTAACTTAAGATTTTAAAACCGTTTGGTGTCGTGTATCTGGCTTCACAAGTTGAAAATCAAGCTTATTTTAAATCCCCTCTATTTAATGTCACTTCCCAATGCATCAAAAAGCCTAATTTTTGTGATAAGAATTAACTTAATGGTTAAGAATTGGTAATTCTTACGTCACTCAAAAGATGGCGTTACGTAATATTGTTTTCTAGATCCTACAGAGGTGTTGGTTAGCTCATATGATGGTCAGGTCTCTAGAATATCTTATTTTGTCGTGAGCGTTTTGGTGGCTTAAATGTTTAATTTAGACATTTTAATCTTCACTACGCTGTGAAGTGATTCATAGTTTAACTTCATCGGCCTATTTAAAATCTAGTTATTAATAGTTAGCTGCTTCGCTTGAAGCAAGTTTTCAGCGCACTCTTTTTACTTCATTCTTATTTAACTATCGGTTCTTTGGCTTACTGTAGTTTTGCAAACGCGTAGAGTCTTTCTTTCATTGTTTTGGTATTTGCACTTTTTGCTTACAGGAAAAGAAAAAGTGGCGTTTCTTTTTGCTTTGCTTAAAAAGCATTAGAAACTTTTACAGAATCAGTAAAAATTTAACCCATGGAACTGCAAAATTGTCGAATAGATGAATCTGAGCCTCGAAACGGCTGGTAAAGACATAAATTTTGTTTAAGGCCTAGCGAAAAAAATGTCGAAGTATTTTTCACGCGTGCAAAGATTTCATAGGTTTTTGATATTGGAAAATTAGTCGAAGAGCAGTTTTACATCTTCGAAAAAAGCGCGTGATAAATTTTTGATCTTCAAATCAAGTTTTTAAATAGTGAGTTTTTGATTTGAAACAGCAGCTATTTTTTTATATGGTTATTGTAATTACTAACGACTGTTGTGCCGGAAAAGATACAATTCAAATTATTGTGCTTTATTACTTAATAATAAGTGAATTTACACTTTTAAGCCAGTTTTTGGTTCTCTTTTTTAAAGTGGTAATCCTCTGTGGCTATTCTTTTCAGAACCTGCACCTCCAGCTTCAGCAGAAGATGATCAACTTGCGTGTTTATCGGTTCAATCTAAACCCGAACTTGAGTTAGATTCTCATGAATGGGCTAAAAATCGTTATGTATGGGTTCCTGATGAAAAAGAAGGGTTTTTACTGGGCTCAATAACAAAGGTTTTTTTCAGCTGTAGTTTACCGATCTTCCAGTTTCTGCCTGTAAAAAAAATTGTTTTTATAACTAATTTCAGGACATATCGGCTGATGTAGTAGAGGTAAAGATTGTTCAAACAGGCAAAGAGGGTAAATACTCGCTTGAAGATCTGCAGTCGGTAAACCCTCCAAAATTTGAAAAGGTGGAAGATATGGCTTCTTTGACGTGCTTGAATGAAGCAGCTATACTTCATAATCTACGGCAGCGTTATTTCTCATCTCTGATTTATGTTAGTATTTCAGTACTTTTATGTATCCTTACTCACAAACATATTTCAGATGTAATCGTTGTAGATCTTCAGCAGAAATTATAAAATTGCGGACACAGATAGAAATGTCAGGAATGTTTACTTTTTATTCAATTTAGACGTATTCTGGTTTATTCTGCGTAGTAATTAACCCATACAAACGAATGCCAATGATATACTCTGAAGCTGTTATTGAAAAATACAGGCACATGAAACTTCATGAAGTTCCACCTCATATTTTTGCCGTAGCCGATACTGCTTATAGGAAAATGTTGCATGGTTGTATTTTAATTTTTTGCAACAAAATGTTTCAAAGTTTTAGCCACTTTCAAAATCAACAATAAGTTTTTAGTCCAGATTTGTTAGAAGTACTAATAAAAAATGCAGTTTTTTTGTTTTATTTATTACTGAAATTTTTTTTGATTTGTAATATGGTTGCAGCGTTGATTTTTTTAAGCTGCGCTTTCATGGATGTCAGCTAATTTTGAAGAAATTCGTTTTAGTACTTAACTAGGTGGTTCATTTTTATTGGTTTTTGATTTTTAGAGCATGAAGACCAATCTATTCTATGCACTGGTGAATCAGGTGCCGGTAAAACTGAAAATACTAAGAAAGTAATTCAGTACTTGGTACATATCGCTGGGACTCCGCACCATAAAGCGGGTTCATCGAAAGTCAGTAAGCCATTGGGTGATATTTGAGTATTTAAACAATACTCTTTTTCAAACAACAAAATCTAGACCACATATTTTTAGGTCAAATTCCACTAAGGCTTTTTTATCAAAAGCAGAAGGTTTTAATTTTTCTGTTTAAGCCAATGATAGGGCCGCCAATTCCCCAATTGTCTATATAAGGTCCTGATTAAAGAGAAAGGGGAAATTATTCGATGGAGTGGGAAGCGGGAGGGGAAAAAAAGGAAGATGGAATTGAGCGAAATGGATAATATTTTGTTTAGATATCTGAAAGTAGTCTCGCTACTTTTTCTATTCTGTAATTTAACCGCAGGTTCTGTTGAGGACTGGAAAGTTCTATAAATTTCTTAAAGTGGAAACCGATGTCTATCACCGATTATACTAATTATATAAGCTTTTCTTGCGAAAACTGATTTTTGGGCGCACAAAAGAGTTTTAATTAATTGCATTGACAATCATTTTTATAAGGGCGAAGTTGTTCGTACGAAAGTCCTTGGTAAATTATAAATAAATGGAAGGTCTGAAAGCCAATGTTGCTTGCCACATTTTTCTTAAAACGAACGCTCTTTTCTGTTCATGTTTGTGACCACTCGACTTCGCATTATCTGTTCCTCCTGGTTTCACAAAGATGAAAGCAGTTTCTGCTTAAATTCTACTTAAGAAATTTGGATTTGTCTGGTTATTTATTGTGGAAATATTAGACAGTTTGCAGAGGTCCACACGGAGAAGAAAATTAAAAAGTTAATAAGTAAAATACATAGATCTCGTAGAAAATTAATGAATCTGTATTGGAAAAATACAAGAAAAAGTCGAAAATTATATGCGTGATCACACGTGAACGCTCTGAAGTTACCAGATGTCTATGAAAAGACTTGGGAGACGCTATTTGAGTCTCCACTACTACTTTAAACTGAAAAGTGCTGAATTAAGTGCATATGGCAATTATTTCACGTACTATAGAATAGGATAATCGTTCTTACCCTCCAAAAAAAAAAAAAAAGAATTTGGGAGGAGGGGGTAAGAAGCGCAGGAAAATTCGATTAATTATATTTCTGCGAAGTTAATTTGAAGACTTTTGTTATTTGCACTAATTCTTCTAATATGTTGCTAATCAGTGAACATTTTTGGGCTCAGCGTCTTTATGAGAAAAAAATTAAAAAGATTTCTGAAGGAATTTGAATTTTTAATTTTTTTTTGCCCTCGCTTATTGTTTTTTCAGTTGTTGAGATGATGTAACAATTAAAATTTTCAATAAAGTCTTAACACTTGCGTTGGGGTAACGCTGGGGTCAATTCATACGTTTCTATCAAAGGTTATTTAATAAATTTTATTTTCAGAAGGAAACGGAGGGCAGCTCTGTTGTAAGTCTTTGTACATTAAATTGTCAAGATTTTTACTTTCAGCGTTTTTCGTGTCCCAACTTTTCCTTTAAGGAGCTTAAGACTGACTATGAGATATCGTCTTTAGGTAATTGTGAGAAAAGATACGCAACATATATTCAAGCAGCTGTTGTGAAGTTTCTTTGTCAAATAATATTTTGTGCTCAAAAGTTATTGCGTTTTCACACTAAACAGGATGTTAAATTCTCAAGATTTTAGGCACATTTGGAAGACCAACTTCTACAAGCAAACCCAGTTTTGGAAGCTTTTGGCAATAGCAAGACAGTGAAGAATGACAATTCGTCTAGATTCGTGAGTTCACATTTCCTCTTTTCATTCTGAATATTTCTAACCGCAATTTAGTGGTACTGTATTATTTATTCAGTTCGTTTCAAGTACTCTTTACCATGATTTATAGAGGGATTGCTAAAAGGTTTTATTTAAACCCCTTTTTTGTTCTATCAGTATTTAGATTTGATCCT